CACTGGCGTGGCCACATTTGCGACACTTGCAGCGGCATTGGGAGCAGTGCATTATGGGCAGCTATCCCACAGAGCACCTCTTCCCATTCTGGCACTGTGGCTTGTGGGAAGGAGGCGGGGGTGCGGGGCATTCTGGGTCTTGTCCCAACTCCCCATGATGCATTGGTTCGCATCGCAGCAATCCCTGTGCTTCCGTCCACATTTGGCACCATCTTTGAACGTTTTTTGTACTGCGCGCTCTGTCTTCCCTTTTGGTCTGCGGGAATGGAGCCTGAACTGCTGGGGAGTATACTGACGAGTCTTGCCAGCATGTCACGTTTGGCAGTTGAGTTATTCCTTATGATCCGAAGTGACAGTGAGGGCTCCGACGATATCGACTCAAGTAATGCAAATGACATGAGTTTGTTTGTGGCATTCACGGACATGCTCACCACTGTGGAACGCTGCTTTTGGGCTCGAGAAACAAGCACTGAGTGGTGGGATCACATTGTCATGCAAGTCTGGGATGATGAACAGTGGCTGCAGAACTTTCGGATGAGAAAAGCCACTTTCATGGGATTCTGTGATGAGCTCGTCCCCACCCTGCGGCTCAAGAACACGAGATTGAGAGCTGCCCTGATGGTGGAGAAGCAGGTGGCTATTGCAATCTGGAAGCTGGCAACTCCAGACAGCTGCTGTTCGGTCGCAAACCAGTTTGGAGTGGGAAAGTAGACCGTTGGAATTGTGTTGATGCAAGTTTGCAGGGCCATTAATTGCATCCTGCTCAGAAGACCCGTGACTCGGGGTAACGTGCCTGACATTGTGGATGGCTTTGCACAAATGGGTTTCAATAACTGTGGAGGGGTGATAGATGGCTCTCATATTCCAATTCTGGCACCAGTCCACCTAGCCTCCGAGTACGCTAATCGGAAGGGCTATTTCTCTATGGTTCTCCAAGCACTTGTGGATCACCATGGGCGTTTCATTGACATTAACGCAGGCTGGCATGGAAAGGTGCATGACGCATGCATCTTTTGGCCTGTTCAGGAAGCTGTAAGCCGGGACTTTTTTCCCAGACCAGAAGATCACCGTAGGGGAAGTCGAAATGCCCATTGTGATCCTTGGAGACCCTGCTGACACTTTAATGCCATGGCTCATGAAACCCTACACAGGGAGCCTTGACAGCAGCAAGGAGAGGTTCAACAACAGGCTGAGCCAGTGCAGAATGACTGTGGAGTGTGCTTTTGGCCATTTAAAGGGCCGCTGGCGCTCTCTGTATGGGAAGCTGGACCTGGCCGATGACAGTATCTCTGCAGTTATATCTGTGTGCTGTACCCTCCAAAACATTTGTGAAGGGAAGGGTGAACGATTCACTCAGGCATGGAACTCGGAGGTTCAACACCTCTGCCTGTTCAAATTCAGCCTCCAGATCAGGGCTATTAGAGGGGCCCAGCGTGGAGCTGCAAGGATTAGGGATGCTTTGAGGGAGCAATTTGAGGCTGAAAGTCACCAGTAATGTCTGGTGCCCTGCACGGGAGTGAAGTGCAGTGGTTCCAATGTTAGAAGGAATCTGTGTTTGCTATGCTGACTTGCAGTGCCTGTTTCTTTCCTGGGCTAAGGTATCTTTTACTTATGCAATCATAAAGAATGTTTTCAAAGCCAAAAATTCCATTTATTGAAAAGAAAATTCATTTATTGAAAAGAAACACAACTGCTTGGGAAACAGGGCAAGGGGGTGGGGTGGGGAACGGTACAATCACAGATTTGCGTATGTCCTGTTATCATGCTCAGCCTTCCTGTTTGGAGTGTTGTGCAATGAGTGCAGCACTTCAGGATGGCTATACTGCATAGTGATGGGGGTTGAGTGCAGTGCGTAAGGGTCATACTTTTTAGGGCTGGGTGGTGAAGCTACAGGTGTTGGAGGCAGCTGGTGGTGGTAAGAACCACTGTTCCCTCTAAGCTGTGCGTATATGCGCACACACAGATCCTAAACCCCGCATACATGGCAAAACACCGCGCACACAAAAATTTGCACAGAAGTACAACAATTTGCACAGAAGAAATTTTTTTTGCACATGGCCTGTCAAAAATTAGAGGGAACATTGGAACCCGGATGTTGGGGAAAGTGAGTTGGAGGTGATATGGGGGCACAAGGGAAAGTGGGTTGGAGGTGACATGGGGGCACAAGGGAAAGAGTTTTGGGACAAGGGCTGCAGGGGGGCACAGGCTTGGTAGTGCTTTGCCTGCATGGCTACAAGCGCCTAGATAGAGTCTGCTTTGCACTCCATTATGCTTATCAGCCAATCCGTGCTTTGCTGCCCGAGCACCGCGTTTTGTGCCGGCACTCCTCATTCTGCTGGCGGATCCTCCTTTCACTGTCCCGCCACTCCTGCACTTTTTGATTTTCATTACTTGAATGCTGCATTACTTCATGCAACATGTCTTCCTTGCTTCAATGTGGCCTCTTTCTGATTCTTTGGAGTCTTTTGGCTGGTGATAACATGAACGGCTGAGATCTCAAGGTTGCATCTGTAAAGGGCAAGCACAGTCTACTCAATAGCATAATTTGCCCATCCCAAAGCAAGCGCGCACAACCCACAGGAGCCCCAAAATGGTGAGTAAGCACAGGGTCAAGTGTGATTGATTGTTTCATGGCTGTACTGTCCTCTGGGTTTCTGTGCCTTGAGGAGAGCCAACAACTGCAGGGGGCCCCTGTACTGAACACTGTCCCCACATTTTCCACAGGAGTTTGTCCTGGAAGATATCTTGCTGCTGAGGGTGACCTGGGAAGCAAGGGAGGGACTTCTACTGCAATGCGGCTTCCGCCCTGGCCCATATGCAGCTTGTCTGTGTGCAGCAATGGTCCCCCCGCCCCTCACGGCACTGTGGCGCAGACAAGTTAGCTTTACTGGGACAAGGACCACAGTGGCTCTCCTGAGAAACCCGCACAAGTGCATTGCCCAAGTTCTGGATGAGACCTTTGAAGAGATCACTGAGGCCAATTATTGCGATGTGAGAGAGCACATCAACGCCCTATTCCGCATCTAGGCATGCATGCAGCCCTAACCCTCCTCGCCCAGAGAGCCCACACCAAATAACTTCCTTCCCAAAATAAAAGCTGCTTACCGGGCACCTCCTCTGGTGTTTGTCCTTCCTCAAGCACCGGCTGCTGCGACTAGCTACCTTCCTCCTGGCTTGAGAACAGCTCCTGGCTGCATGTATCTAGGGATTCCGGGGTGTCTTCCTCAGCCTCAGCACCCTCGCTCCTGCTTTGCTCCTCCTCTTGCCTTGTTGAACTGGGCTCTGAAGTGTCCCTGGTGGTACTTGGAGTGGAAGTGGGGTCACCCCCAAGTATCGCGTCCAGCTCTTTGTAGAAATGGCAGGTCTCAGGGGCAGCACCGGAGCAGCTGTTTGTCTCGTGGGCTTTGTGGTAGGCATTCCGCAGCTCCTTCACTTTAACCCTGCACTACAATGCGTCCCGGTCATGGCCCCTTTCCATCATGTCCCTTGATATCTGCCCAAAGGTATCGTAATTCCTATGGCTGGAGCACGGCTGGGACTGGACAGTTTCCTCCCCCCAAACACTGATGAAGTCCAGCACCTCACCATTGCTCCATACTGGGGATCGCCTGGCGCATGGAGGCATGGTCACCTGGAAAGATTTCGCTGAGAGCACTCCACACCTGGCTGAGCAAACAGGAAGGGGATTTTCAAAATTCTCACAGAATTTAAAGGGTGGGTCTGATGGTTGGTCACCTGAGGGCAGGGCAGTAGAGTTCAAAGTGATGACCAGAGTGGCTAGAATAGGCATTGTGGGACACTTCTGGAGGCCGATCAGAGCGCATTAACAGACCAGGGTGTCCACACTGGCGCTGTGGCGCTTCAGTGGGGGCGCACCAAACGTTATTCCTCTTGCCGAGGTGGAGTACCAGGAGCGCTCTACGTGCCTTGCTAGTGTGGACGGGTAGTGACCTAGTGCACTCAGGGCTCCTTTAATGCACTCTCACTCGCACGTGTAGCCAAGCCCTGTGTCGGCAGGAGAGCGTCTCCTGCTGACATAGTGCTGTCTACACCAGCGCCTTTCTTGGGGAAACTTGTGTGCAACAGGGGGCTGTTTCTTCACACCCCTGACCGACAAAAATGCTAGTGTAGACAAAGCCTTAGATGACCTTCCTTGGACATCCAGTTGTGGCAGATGGGGCCAGAGACCCTCTGAGGGGAGGGATTAAGCTTTTATGGGAGCTGAGTTGGGAAAGTTTCTGTTTTGTGAACTGGCTTCTTCAGTCTGGAGAAGGGTTATTGGTTGTTCCTCATCTTTTTGGGTTGTATTTTAAAGTATTTGTCAAAGAACATAACCTGGATTTGGAGTTCTTGGGTGTTTGTATACATTGGAATGAAAATAAAAAATAAAAATATTTACAATTGGTGCAGTGGTTATTCAGATGCATCACGTGTTGGTATTAATGTTCTTTGATGGGATGAGCACACAAGCATTTGTATGTGTGATTTTAAAAGTCTGTGTGTGTGTGCACGCATGTGTGTGGACACTTGGGCGTGTGACTTTAAAATGTGCTACTGTTGTTTTGCCAGAAAAAGCAGCTAATGTGAATGTGGACCTGAACGTGATTGAGGCAAATTCATTTGAATGAATACTCAGGTATATTTTGGCATCTCCCTTGCAATTATCCTGTTGTAGGTTATTTTAGGTTCACTATCTTGCTCTTTAGAACACAACACCTCCCCCTCCCCATGCCCCCACAAACGTTTGGTTTGGATAAGATATCTGACAGTTCAGCTCAATCCATGCTCTTTTTTTTAATAATTATTAGCAGTTGACTTGGCCTACACATTCTGGACCTTGGCATGGCAAGCAAATCAGTACAGCCACAGATGGCTATTTTGGGGTGGAGAAGTGGGGAGGGACTATAGCTATGCTGAGGAGTTGTTGTAATCTGCTGCACCTTCAAAGGATGAGAAAGCTGATATTTACCTTCCCCTTTTCTGTTTTTTCTCTCTCTTAGGAAATACTGTGTGTTACAGACAGAGACATCAATCCCAGCTCACTCCCCCCCCCCCTTTTTTTTTTTTCTTGCCTGAATTAGAAGCTCCAGGAATGTGCTAATTGGCGGCGGCCTCTTCAGAGAGGTAAAAGGTAATTGTTATCTGCCCGCTTTAGGTGTCTTGCCTGTTAAACCTCTTTTGGAGCAGGTGGGAAAGGAGGGGAAGCTTAGAATAAGCTTGTCAGTGTGGAATTTTTATTTTCTTAGATCATCTCCAAGTTGATCGCGATGGTTTTCCATCCTCTTCAATGTACTCATGCAAAGAGAGGCTTCTGTGTATGTTCATTCATGCATACAGTCCTGTCCTGTGCCTATTTCTATGTGTAGGACAGAGAGCTAGTTTTGAGCAACCAGAGGAAAAGGTTTGCTTAAAATGTTAGTAGAAACATATTTTTTTTAAAAGATGCTCAGTGCATTGGTGGAATGATGACTTCTCTGCATTAGCTTAGCTCCTTGGCCCTTGCCCTCCACCCCAGGTCCTCTTTGGTCATTTGCAATCTCTTGCTCCATCATCCATTATGTCTCCAGGGAAGAAAGGACTCCCATTGGGCAAAATACTGGTTCAGGTAAAATCACCTGCATTTGAATAACTCTACATTTGAATCACATCTTTCCTTGAGATTTGGAAAAGATTGGGTAATAATTGTAATACCTAGATCAGGGGTGGGCAAACTTTTTGGCCCGAGGGCCACATCTGGGTGGGGAAATGGCTTGCAGGGCTGGGGCAGGCGGTTTGGGTGCAGGGATGGAGTGCGGTGTGCAGGAAGGAGCTCAGGGCAAGGGGTTGGGGCAGAGGAGGGGTGTGAAGGGGCTCAGGGAAGGGGGTTGGGGTGCAGGAGGGGTGTGGGGAGTGGCAGGGGGCTCAGGGCAGGGAGTTGAGGTGCGGGGTGCAGGAGGGGTTCAGGCTCCGGCCCAGCGCCGCTTACCTAGAGCGGCTCCTGGGTGGCAGCAGCCTGCACCGGGGCCAGGGAGGTCCCCATGCGTGCCTGTCCCAGCCCGTGTCGTGCCATACCACGCCACTCCGGGAAGTGGCCTGCACCACATCCCTGTGCGGCCCCTGGGAGTTGTGGGGGTGCAGAAGGCTCCAAGTGTTTCCCTCGCCTGTGGGTACCTCCCCTGAAGCTCCATTGGCCGCGGCAACCCATTCCTGGCCAATGGGAGCTTTGCGGGAGGTACCCACAGGCAAGAGCAGCATGTGGAGTTCTCTGCTCCCCCACCCCCACCCCCAGGGGCTGCAGGGACATGGTGTGACCGCTTCCCGGAGCGGTGCGGCGCCACGGGGGTGACAATCCCCTGGGCCAGATCCAAAGCCCTGGGGGGCTGGATCTGGCTCGCAGGCTGTAGTTTGCCCACCCCGACCTAGATCTTACATAGCAATTTTTATCAGTAGATGTCAAAGTGGTTTACAAAGGGAAATCAGTAACATTATCCCTTTTTTACATATGAGGAAAGTGAGGCATGGGTGGATGTGACTTGCTGAAGGTCACCTAGGAGACTGGTGGCAGAGTCAACAATTGAACCTGGGTTTCCTGAGCCCAAATCCAGTGCCCTATCTACTAGGCTATGCTTCCTTCCAACTGAACTTGTTTTTCATGTATTTAAATGCTTCTAGTTCCAGGCAGAAGTGCCAGAATATGGTATGTGTGAGCCTCTATGTAATAAATTCCGTGGCCATAAATGGTGGTGTGACCTCATGTAATCCTCACCTATCTTTCCACTTCTTGGAATATGGTTTATATTCCATATCCCCAGTGCCATGCAAGTTAATGGTTGCAAAACAGTTTCTATCCGTACAAGCATTTTAGATGAACCTATTTTAGAACATGTTTTTAAATGTTGTTACTTCCTGCTGCGACTTTCAGGGGATGCTAAGGGAGTTAAGTGCCCAAGTTCCATTGAGAGCCAAGTTGATTTGAACACCTAATTCCTTTAGGCTCCTTTGGAAAGCCCATTGTTAAGTCTTTAGCTCTCTGTATCCTACGATAACTGATTCCTAAATGAATCATTAGCTCTGTGATTCAGGGGTATCCATAGTCCCATAGACTGATGTTTGGTGCAAAATGTAAAACCTCAGACTAAGTGCAGATACTGCAGGGTATAACTTGCTGACCAAATGACAAACTGCAGGTAGGCAAATCTGCCTGGAGCAGCTCTGTCCCATGCTTGCTACCATGCTGCGGACGGTGGGGAAGAAAGCAAATCCTTTATTAGAAGGGCCCCTACTGGGTGACTGATTACCTTCTGAAACAAAGCAATGGACCTTTCGGGTTACTTTTCTGGGGCGCTTCAATTGATACTAAGAGACAAGCAGAAACATACAGACCAGTTGAAGCATTCTAATGGAGTCTCCTGGAATTTCCCTCAGGCTCCTTCTAGGTAATTACCTGTCTATCACTTTGTCTCCTATCTTTTAATGAGGGAGGGTGCCAGACTCCCAGACCACTAATCCTTATTACTGTAGAAAGGTAAGTTTCACTCCTCTGTTTCTCACCTTTGAAAAATGGCACCAGCTACCCAGCTGGCTTGGCTCTCTAAATCATTTAAAAATGGCTGATAACCTTTCTCCATGGCTGCCAGACTAAATCATGGGAATCTCCTGACTGCTTCAGGCATGTATTCCCTGAATTAGCCATACGGGTAAGAAAGAGGGAGTTGATAGGGAAGGAAGACTAGCAGAAGCCACCTTACAATCCCTAAATTCACTTTCCCCCAGACAGACTCTTTATTAGAGCTGTGGGATATGTTCATTTCAAACCCAGAACTTGGAGCAAATTGTCTGAGATTTGCAAGCCTGGTCTGACCTGGAGTTCTGGGCGAAAGCCACTGCAAAACCTGGCAGTTCCAGCTGAGCTTGCTTACAGTCTCAGGGTTCTTTCAGACCCCCAAACTCACAGGAACTGGGTTAATGTAAACCTGTAAACCCAAATCTCACAGGGTTGGAGGGGTTTTTTTGGTGGGCCTCTGCTCGTTAGCCTTCTGTTTGTGTTTTGTTTTGTTTTACTCAATTAGATTTTTCTACTGGAAACTTTGCATGTACCCTATATTTCCAGTCTCTTCCTGTGGAGGCCCTGCTTCAGGACTATTGCCATTTCTCTTAGGCCAGGGTACTCGGTCTGTGCCTCTGTTACCTCAGCATAGTACTGAGTTTTTCCTTGGATAACCCCTTCTGTTCCTGTTGCTGGCTCACATTACTGTAACAAGTCAGAGATATTTCCCCCCTCCTCAGCTGTTGCTTACGCCGGGAGCTCAGGCATAAGCCCCATGTCCCTATATGCCCCTCTTTTCTTTATTCTTCACCTGGCCAACATGTCAGAGGTCTCGGGAGATCGTGCTGGTTTTGGAGGTTGTCCTTTTCCAACTGCTTCCATGTGTCAGACTCCAAGAAATGTACATTGTTAAGCTCCTTTACAGTGCCTTAGTGCAGCATGTGCTTCTAACTGTCTGCTTATGTATGGATTTAAGCAGCAGAGTCTGCTATCAAATGCTATCACCCAGTGTATATCCCTTCGGGTGAAAAGCTTTAGGAGAAGAGGTGGGACATGGTAGTGATATTTGGGAAACGAAGCAAAAGGAAATTCTTCCAAGTTTGTTGGGCTGAAACCTTTTGCGGGGGAGGGGGAAGGTATTCTTGCTGGACTTTTAAGTATTTTTTGAGGGTGAGTGTGGGAGGAGGGAATGTCTGATTGTTAAGTAGCCAAACATTTGCTGTTTCATTGCGATATGTGGAGTTACCTTTTTTGTCCTTTCTTCAATTAAACTTGGGCAAAGATTTTTCACTCCTAGAAAGTATAAATCATATACAAAGTTGAGATCCTGTTCATAATTGACACACTTAGAATAATGAGAAGAAAAAAGTGCTTTCAAGATTGCAGCAAAGTCATCTCTTTATTTTATTTTTTCCCTCTCTCCTGACCCATCTCCAGAGAAAAGGTGATACAGCTTCTAGCTAACATATTTCAGGTGGGTGACGCTGTGGTATGTTAAGCGGTGTCTGTAATAGCTTATCTATCGGTGGTAAGCTTACTCTGTTTGTATTTTTCTTTTCACACATAAATCAAGTTAACAGTTTTCAAGACTTCGAGCAGTGTTTCAGCAGGATATTTGCTTAATGTCTTTAAAAAAAAAAAAAAAAGCTTTTAAGGTCGGTTTTGAGTTAGGATTTCTAATACAGGAAACATATCCAGTGTCAAAGCTATGAAGCTATCCAGCACCCAGCCAGGAGTCAGACTTCTGAGTCAGAATGAATTAACAGCAGAGTTTGTGTTTCCAGGAGTTCCAGTCTCTGGAGACCTAATCTTCTCACAGGCCTTAAATCCTGATGAAACAGTACATCACCACTGAGCAAAGCACTTAAGTGCATTGCTTAACTTTAAGTTATGCTATATTTTAAGCAAATGCATGTGCTTAAGTACTTTGATGAATAGGGATGGACTTAAGCACATGCTTAAACTATTTGCTGAATTGGGGCCTTTCTACACATTGACCCTGTAATAGTTCAGCAGCACTCCTTGGATGGGAGGAGGAGCACTTCCTAGAGGCTTGCATTTTGTCTTTGCCTGAAGAGCTCTCTTTAAGCGCTGAGTAATGCCTGTGCTTGGAAGGATTAGATTTTTATTGGTAAATATCAGTAAACGTCAATTTCACTTTCCACACACAAACCAACGAAAAAATATTTCTATCAATAGTAATCAAAATTTACAGATCGTCAAAGTAAAAAAAAAAAAATGCTGCCTCAGAATTTTTTTTAACCTATTAAGGATATTTACTTTGTATATTTTGACATGTGATGCTGATCATCTGTTGTGACATTTTAATTGTTACAAAGTTTTAACATTTTGAATCTCATCAGTGTCCACTGTCATTAAATAACTATTGGCTGACCTCCTCCCCCATAATTTGCACAGCTTTGAAAATTAAAATCGGAAAAAACACTTGAAATAAAAATTGATAATGTAAAATTATATTCAAAAAAGTCAAATTCTGCTAAGTCTTGGTGTACCATATAGGACTGGGGTGGGAAAACTACAGCCCGTAGGCTGGATATGGCCCGCAATCCGTTCTAACCCAGCCCGTGAGCTCCTGCTGGGGAGCG